TGAACCAGACAAGCTAATTCCTTGCCTGTGAAGTAATGTTGGAGTGCATATTATATGCAGTTTATGTTTAAATATAAATATGGGATTACCTTTTGGGTTGTGAAACAGAATCATATAGGCAACAAACATTACATCTAGGGTCTTCTATGAGTGAAAACTGTTGTGTCAAATATGGTTAGTTTAGTAGGGTTGATGGGCTTTATTCAAGGTTCCTAGAATTTATCTGCCAAGCATAAATAATTATTTAACAACTAATAGGGCAAGGCCAGAAATATAATAGCTTTTATGTTGAAATTAACATCAAGTGATCTGTAGACATCTGCTAAGCAAGCCAAATGTGGTCTATGTGCTGTATGTTTTGCCTCACTGCCTCAAAATAACAAGCAGTGCTTATATTTGGAGGGGCAGTTTTCCTTGTTGAAGTGGAAAAAAAATGCTCTGATAGAAAATCACTTGCACTGTTAAGATCAAGTGTGTGATGAACATTAAATAGCCCTACAAATTTAAATAATGCTCGATGCTGAGATTTCAGCCTTGCAAATGCTCGTTTCCTGATGTGTGCTTAGCATGGTTCAGAAAAAAAAAGAAAGAAAAAAAGAAAAGAAAGTCCTTTCTTGTTAGAAAGAAAACAAAGTATCGCCCAGTATATTCCAGCCCTTACGTTGCATATTTCTGCAGTCCAGTAAGTGTGGGAGCCTGGGCTCCAATGAATTTATTTTTCCAAAATGACCAGAAGGGTGAGGGAAGCATAAGAAAAGCGACAGCATCGAGAAAACCTGAAAAAGTTCCAAGCAGCAAAGACCCCTTCCAAGCAGATACTCGCTGTTGCCTTGCAGAGATCTGCATTGTGTGCGTAAGTGTTTGGGTTCTGTGGATGCCAGAACAGAAACTGTACTTCCTTTGCTTGAGAGCACCGCTGTTGGCATGGTTTGTTTGCTTTACTGGCTGCTGCAGTTCATCTGTTTTCAGGGCCAACTGTTCGATCTTTGGCATCTTCTCTACGGGTCTTGGCCTTTCTTCTGTTTTAAAAGTATTAGAAGGAGGTTGAATTGCTGAGTGGGGAATGTAATCTTTGTGAGGCGAAGTCTAAAGATGTTAGTAAGCTGAAAGGGCTGCACTGGCAATGTACTGTGTACTATGCAGGAATGAATGAGACACTCATATTCATTGTGCTTATGTATGCTCAAGTTCTTTATGTCCATATTTAGATCTATTAACACAATAAGATTAAGCCAACTTGACTTTCTTGAATGAACAAAGCAGGAAATGGCAGAGCCTCAACAACAGACCCCATAAATGTGTACTGCCACCAGCAGCATGACTAACACCGGACCCAAGATCCTGCAGGGTTTGGCAGTGACACAGAAGACGCTGTTCTGAACAAGCTGGATTCCCTTTTGCACAGGAGCCTTGGCATTGACCTCACAGTAAGCTGGCTCTGGCTTTTACAGGGCAATGAAGGCTGGGCTCTGTGCTGGACTCGGTGTCTCTGCCTCAGGCTTTCCTGAATACAGGAGTGCAGCCTCAGGCTGCTCTGGTTCGCACTGCCAGGAGTCCCTGGGGATTTGTCTGCCAGCTGGGTTAGCCAGAACACACTGTGCTCCAGCCAAAGTCAACTTCCCCCTGTGAGGTCAACCGCAGCGGGGAAATGTCAGATGCTGGCTGTGCCAGTTCTCAAACCACAGCTCACCCTTCCCCGCAGGGATTTCCCCAGCAGATAAGGGGCAGCAATCTCTGCCCTGTGCTGGCAAGTCCGGAAGACAGAGTTAGAGGAACAGGATGAAGTATCTGGCAGAAGAGAGCTGTTGCATTGGCAAATCCAGACTTCTTCACAAGAGATCAGATATTGACTGTGACATTTTTCTCTGCTGCTTCAAAGCGCAAATCATGAAAAGGAAGAAATCCCCTTTGCAAAGGCCTCTTCTTGGATTTCTGTATTGGAGCAACACACGAGGGAGTTAGGAGTGTCGTGGCAGGGGAATGCTATATAATTTTGTCCATGGATGAGGCTCCTCATAGTCCAGCACAGCTAGAGAGAGCAATATCCAAGGTGGAAGGAGAGAGTGGACCACCAGTTCTGTTGTTTGGATATTGCAGCCTTGACTGCTGCAAGGACTAAGCATGGGACATTGTTTGTGGTGGTATAGTTGGGCTTCTTTGCAGGCATTCATCTGAGGTGGGTAAGGAAGTTTCTCTGTGCCATTTGGTCTTGGCTTTCTGTGGGAAATGTGGATTGCCAATTCCAAATCACAACAGGTAAGAGCTCCTGGGCTGTGCTGAGGGTGCATAACAGCCCATTCAGCTTTACTCAGATGATTAGGTTACTGCTTTTAGTACAAAATACATGGCAAAGCAGTCATTTCTATGCATGTTCTAGAGTGGTACATTATTGCATTTTAGCACTTGACGTGAGAGTAATTTACACACAGTCACTGCTTTGTCTTCCATGAAAAACAAACCCTCTACAAGCAGATGCAGAAAGGCTGCTAAAGATTTCATATTATTAATGTTTACGGCATTTGTTGTAGTGCTGCCTGTTAATTACCATATTTAAGAGTGTGCCCTTCTTCTGTGAGGGGTAGGCGTCTATTTGGAATGATGCTTCTTGAAAAAATGTTGACACTAATTCAGCATCGCTGCAGCATCTTGAAAGATCTGTGGGCCTGATTCTGCTCTCAAGCAAAGTGCAAATTGGGACTAAGCCTGCTGAAGAAAGTGAGATTGGCCTGGTGTAAAAATGGCTTTGGGAAGAATCAGACCCTCTGATTTCAAAGGCTCTTTGCAGTCCTAGTGCAATACAAGTCAGTGAGAAAACAGGCCATGTGTTGGAGGGGACACATTTGCCAAACTTGTGAGGCAGGGGCTGGCCAAAGGAGTGCGTATGCAAATCTGAAGCTCTGCCCCTAGCACTCACCATTGCTCAGACAGCAACTTCTTCCTCCTCTCCATGTGGAGGGCCTCTACTGGAGCCAGGCATTTTACTGGAGTGCAAAAACTGCTGAATAAAGAGCAGTGCTTTCTTTTGTCTGTTTTCCCTCTGAAGGTGACTCCAACTGTTTGTTTCTTCCTTTGACTGTCCCTCGTGCTTCTATCTGGCCATTTCTTCCTGTGTGAGTGAAAAACCCGGCTGTTTCTCCAAGCTCAGATGCTGTGGTCATAAGGGAGCTATGCATGGCCCTACACATAGGGGCATCACGCAGGTGATGGAAAGGTGAGGAAAGGTAGCATCACTCAGTGGAGAAAAGGTCAGGAGAGTCCTTAATTTGGCACCATGTCCCCTTACTGTTCCTGTTCCTCCCACCCCCTTGCTGTCCTGCTGTGGCTGGCTGGCAGGGAACCTGGGCCTGAGAGGTGCTGCGCACTTGTTAGGAAGCAGCTTTATCTGCCTCAGCGGTGTCTGAGACATGGCCAGCCTCACGCTTTGTTTAGCATCTTTTGGTTCTGCATGCTGCTCTTCAAAGAGTGGACTTATTATGTTCACTAGAAAAGTTACAGTTTGGCCTCTCTTTTGATGCATCTGTCTTTCACTGTGATCAGGGACTCTCTATTGAATTGGGGCTGTGTTTGTCTCCATAGATCTACCCGGCAAAATGAAGGTGTGATTGTAGCATGTTGGCCTGTCCTAATTTAACTGGCAGAGGTAACAGTAGCAGTGAAGATGCAGCAGCAGTGGCCAGCAACCAAGTTATAAAGTCTCCAGAGACCTTCTGTATATATCTCAAGGTATGTTGACACTGCTGCTTGCAGGGATACCCTGAGATAGCTGTTAACAATTTCACAATGAGTGAATTGTTGCTTAGCAATGACCAGGTTAAATAACGGCCACAATGTTTATTCCGCTTCTTGGGTGGGTTTTGCAGCTTGTCCTGAGTACCACGCTGCTGGGGATGGGATGCACCTGTTTTAGCTAACGGGAAACAGTGACAGTGTTCTGGGTGAACAGTGTAATTGTTCATCCAGACACATCCACAGCACATATGGAATCAATGCTAAGAGACTAAAGATAGAAAATGAGGCAAACAAAGAGAAGACTGGCTCCTATGTAGAGAAACTTTATGGCTGGCATGTCAGAGGAGGGATGGGGACAAAGCAATGCTTCCACCCCAGTGCTGGAAGTATGAGTCCATGCCGGAAAAACAATGACCAGGAGTGTTAAAACCCTCCCATGGTGCCTGACTCTGAAAGAAGCAAAGTGCTGACAGAGACCGTGTCATGCTGCAGAACAACCTGCCACTGACTCAGAAGTGGTAGAAATAGAGCATGAAAACTGGGCCTCGAACCCTGAACAAGGACATTGGGATGTTACCTGCCACGGGCTGATCCCTGGGGCTCTCGTGTTTTACCCTGGGGCACGGCTTACCTAAGCTGTCAGACTCGTGAAGGACCACAGAGCTGAACTGAACATCTGGGCTCTGCAGTGGCAGCCAGCGCTTCTCACTGAACCGTGTCTGCTTGGTGGAGTCTAGAACTTGGATCTATCATCCTTGCAGGTGGTTTTTGGATGCTAAACCCACCACCTTTCTGTGCCCAGTTCCTCTCCTGAGAAAGGGTTCAGCTTCCCACTCAGTCCAGCAGAATTGGCCCTTTGGACTTGAAAATAATCTCAGTCTTTTGGCTGACAAGATTTGTCCTCAGGGCTTTTTCTTGCATTCTACTTTGAACATCATTTCTACGTGCTGCTAACTTTGATACGGTAATGGGAACGATCTGCACACGGAGTTGACCCTTGTATTATAAATAGCTAGCTTTGATCTGCAATATGTGTTCTAAATGAGATGCATTGAAGTATTTTAGGAGTCATGCAGGTGTGCTCCTCAACTGGTGTAGACTGACTTTGTATCACAAGCCAGTGGAGCTTTGCCGCTAAAGATGTGATCCAGATTTGGGACGGGTCTATGGCCCCCATCTTTCTGAATCTCTCTTCTAGTAACACACACAAAAAGCACTCTGGAGTTTTGGTAAGACTTGCTGAGGCCAACAGGGGTGATGAAATAAGTCACCTGAAAATCGGGCCGTTTATACTGCGGTTCCGGATTTGAGACTTCAGTTTCTCCGGGTGAGTTTGAAATGCCGGCGCTTCCCGCTCCTGGCGGCCCGTCCCGGCCGGCCCCCGGCAGAGGTTGGTACTGCAGTAGCCCCACCTGCTGTTGGATGGGAAGGAAGCGGCTCGGTCCTTTAATGCAGCCTGATTATGTGACAGAAGTGAGTCACTTTGCATTACCTTATCTCGTATCACCCTCTTTTACCCCTGCGTTCTCCCTTTCACACCCAATTCTTTGCGGTCCTTACGTTTGTCATATCTTATGTTGATTCTAAGGTCTTTGGGGTGGGAAGCATATCTTATCTCTGCTTGTAAAGCACTAAGTAAATTTACACATAGTATAAACGCTTGATAATAATAACCCTGATATTTTGCTTTTACTGGCATTCGATTTCAAGAGCTCTCTGTGAATCCGAATGAGAAAAAATTACAAAGGCAAAGGTATAATTACAGTTCCTGAGATGGTTTTATTCTAATCCAAGGAGGGTGACTTTATGTTGTTTTTTTCTCTTTAGAAATGAGAACACCATAAACAAGTCTGCCTAGAATAAGAAAGAAAATAAATATGAGGCTTTTTAATTGACCAATACTTGTAAAAAGGATAGGGTGTTAAGCAAAGTATTAAGAGATTTTTTCTTAAATTAAACTGCTTTTACAAGTATGAGACGAGCACGGTGATCAGGAGTAAGGCTTATTTACACAGCAGAACTCATTTGAGATCAGGGTGCTTTTGGAGCAGAAAAATACTTGTGTGTCTAAAGGCTTTCCTTTTTATATATAATTTATATTATTTAAGGACAAATTCTGCAAGGTACTTCAGCTCACGCCTGTTTTCAATAACAGTTCTGGATGTTGCTCAGTCAGGATCTAGACCATCAGCTTTTCTTCCCCTAGGACAAACGTACCCGTTAACAATCACTATCTCCCAAAGTATCTTATTATCTTATCCCAAAGTATCTTAGTGAAGAGTTTGCTAACCTGCAGTATGACACTTTACATTGCATTTGGGATTAGAGAGGGACTCAAAACAGCAAAATTTGGGTCTGGAATGAGATTCCAAACACTTTGCTTATGAGGATTCTTTAAGCTTATCCATTAGAAATGTGAAATTGAGAGTGCATGGATGTATGTGTTGTTATTCCTGCTTATAGGATATGGTATGTACAGGTAGAAGTAGAGTGAAAAGGTGTTATTTAGTTGTGGGGACTCAGTTGATATAGTTTAATTTATTACTAAAGTGAGTAGAATTAAAGTTCTGGCATTATCTGAGATGGACAGAGCTTCTTCTGAGATACCTACTCCGCAAAAAGTCAGCAAAACTGGCTTCAGCTGACACTGTGAAACCCTTTGTATTTGTGACATAGCATGTTTTACACCTGGCTTGTAAAACTTTTATAAAAAATCTGTTATTAAGCCTCAGTATGTCATTTTGATAGGCAGATAGGACAGCTAGTAGACAACATTGAGCATCTGCTCATTTCCTGCATATTGAGAGTTGGATTCGTCAGTGAAGCAGGATTTTAAAAGTCAATAAAACAAAAAATGCTTAACCACAAATTTTTAACAGATAACAAAGAAAGATATTTATTTTATTCATGAATATAATACACTTTCCCTCAAAAGATAGTTTAGACCTTAATTTTTAAGAGGATGTTTGGATTTCTTAGATGAGTAAATGTGTTTGCTTGTGTCTCTGCCTAATCAGCTTTGTGCCTGTGTAACCCAGCAGGGAGAGCACAGCACTTTTTGATATTCTCAGAAGGGGTGAATTTGTCTTGCTTTGCAGATGAGGGAGGCACAGTAGTGGTTCATATGCCGTGTGCAAGTTCTCCATAGAGGTTACACTTTACCCTGCAAGAACTTAAAATGTCACGGCTGCCACAAAGTGCAGTGATTCCAGAAACTCAGTGCATGACGTACAAAGTAAAGAGAGAGAACAATGCAGCTGCTGCATTTCTTGATGCCTTTTGAAATATTGCCGTAGGTATGTTAGATATATATTATGTTTCACTGCAAGATATGAAGTAGCTGGAGGCTGCCTTATTTGTTTTCCTAGTGTAAAGCATCCTTGTTGGTACCTCCGATGCCAGAGTCGTTGCAATGGTGTGTAACAAGTAAGGATGTGCCCTTGCTTTACTTTACAGGCAAGACAGTCCTTCCCTTTCTAGGAATATTAGCATTCATTTATCCCGGAATCCAGCAGCACCCAGGCTGAGACATCTGGTAACAACATCTGTGTGGCAACTAAGTGTTCTGGTGTCTGTAATACTCATGTGTGAGTGCATAGTAGATTCAGATGTTTAGAAAATTACAACAGGAATGAAAATACGTTTTCTTGAGGAATTCTGTAGGCAAGCAAGTCATCCTTTATTATACTTTTGTTTGCAAATAAGGTAATAAAGACTGATGAACAGGAATCTGGGACGTCTGAAGGATAAAGGTGTCATGACAGTCCTTGTGGAAAATGTTGTTTGTGTTATTAGGTACAGGTCATAAACAAATAGGGGACTCTGGATTGATTGATTAATCTTTTCTTAAAATGCTTGTTAATAATGTGATGACTCTTCATAAACATGGCAGTTTAACAAATGTATGATCATGTCTACGCATGGGCTCTGGTCTGTCTGCTCACTCAAGAATGGGACAAAGAAATTATGCAAAGGTGTTCTGTTGTTTACTCAGGGTTTCAGATCTGTTAGAAAGATCTGAGTTAGCCAACAATCTGAATATGCCTAGAGCACATGGCCGAGGTAAGATTTGTAAGGGGAAGTTATTAGTTTATTAAATCTACTGCTAGAGTTGGAAAAAAAATACACAACGTTCTGGGCATATGAACCATCCTTACGGCACTTCATAGGGATTGATGGCAGCATTTGCTATGTTGGAAGCTCAGTGGATATGAACTTATGTCTGTTTGGCTCGATTACTGTGCTCTGAGCAATGTAATTTAAATATTGTGTGTTTCCAGAAGGTTAACATCGCTGGTACACTTCATGCTCTTCACTGTAAAAAGCAAGCACTTTAAAAACAAGTGACAATCTTCCATTTGCCACTATGCGATCAGTGAGACTGTTCTGTTAAGATCGAAATTTCCAAGGCTAAAGTCAATTAGAGTGGGGTACTTAAAGTTGCTAGTCCATATGAAACAAATGCAGAAATGACACTGTAAAACTGGTGATAAGGGGTAGGCAGCACACCAACCAAGTTGTGGGGTAAATTTGCTTAACAATACTTTCTGTAAGGGGAAAGGCTGTGGTCTGAAGGTAGAATTGCCCGCCCTTGCATAGTTCAGAAACACTTGTCAAAGATCTGATGTCACTGGGGCAGACCCTTGCAGAGTGGTGCCACAAAGTCATAAATTCTGCAGCTTCCCTGGGAGCCGTAGCGCTGCCATTTCACCGGCAGCAATATCCTATGTTCAACCTAGAGCAAGCCGTGGTTTTACTAGCAACGAGTACCCTCTATTTAAGTGCCTTGAGAAAAATGTCTGTTGACATGATCATGACAATAATCCCTTCTCCAGGTATGCTTACACAAATTACTGTGAAGCAAGGTAAGGTATGGACTTAGTATACATTTATCTATACATTTATCTATACAGCAGCGTTAGCACACCTTAAGTGAGGGAGAGCACGGGCGCAAACAAGTTACTGTGAAGCTGGTCACTGCACGGTGAATTCACCTAAGCTATTCTTGCAGTAATTTGTTCCTATAGTTGTATTCTAGGATACAATACCAGTCTTAAATTTCATCAGAATTTAAAGTAAAGCTCATTTTGTGCTATTTCATTTTAGATATTATTACTAGTTTCATAGTAAACTTTTTGGAAGTCCAGCTGCAATGTAGCAGAATTCCCAGAATGGCTGTATATATTTAGCTTATCTTCTTGACTTCCAATCGCTTCAATTAAGTGACCCATGATTTTATGTTACAGGACATTGCAAAAGATGCACCTGCCAGATTTATTTGTTTTTATATTGTTGGAAGAGGTTTGGAAGTTTGATCTAAGTATATTCTTGAAAGTTGAGATGCTCCTCTGAATCTTTCCAATTTGCTGGAGAAATATTGTGGTGTCTGTTTTGCTGGAGGGCAGCCCAGGGTCTTAAAGGTCCTTTTGAGACTTATAACCTCTGATTCTTGGAATCCAAATACAGAGCCCAAATTATGAGCACCTATATGGGGATTTCTAGTGAACTCCATGAAAATCTCTTAAGAAATATGTTCTGTCACATGCTGTGTTGTCTTCTGGGCAGATCTAAAATACTGTGCATCAACATTTCTCGTGGAATAGCTCTATTTTTGACTCAGTAGCATATGAGCAGAAGCTGGACATGACATAGAATGCAAAAGAAAATCAAATATGAACAAGAAAAAAATCTTTTTTTACCCATTTATGGAGTGGCCATTTGTCAGCATCTGGTAAGTACATATCTATTTTGGAGTTGAAGAACATTTGAAATTTGCCATTCATATGTGATTTGAGTCTTAAATGTAGCTTGTGGTTATGAGTCTGTCTTTAGCATATTGGTGCGTGCTGCCCCAAAGCCTTTAGGTCACGTAAACTTATCTCAGATTTAATTTTCTTTCAGTCGTAGTATTAATTCAGGGGTTGTTACAGTTTGTTTGCTTAAAAAAATCTATGTGATTTTTCTTTGCATTTTGCAAACCTCATCATTTTGGAATCCTAAATGAACTGTTAAAAGAACTATTTATTATAACCCTATTATATGGATATATTTTGACAAAGAATGTGCATGAGCTTGATGGTGCATCAAAGCAAAAAAAGCCCAAAATGGTCTTTGACTTTAAGGAAAAGACTTGAACCACTGTCAAGATCAAAGTATATTTCATGTGCTAGAGTCCTGATTCAGCAAAGCATGTAAAAAAGAATTTCAAGCACAGTGAGCTTTGGTGGCAGCCACTGAACACGGTTGCATTTACTGCTGTGATTCTTGCTTCTCAAAAATCCCGACAAACCACTTGCCTACAAACGAGTCATCAAAAATGTTGTAATCTTTCTCTGTTTTCACATCCTCACTCAGTATTTCTTACACAGTTTCCAGTATTCGTAATGATTTACTTTAATCTGAAGCACCTAAAGTTTTAAAAGTTCCTGCATTTGCATATCTGTTTCTCTTCGTAAA